GGTCAGTCAGGGCTGAGTGTACCTAGTGGAGAGACACATTTGGCAGCCACTCAGCCACCCACTCACCCACCCACTCACCCACTCACTCACTCACCCACTCACTCACTCACCCACCGACCCACTCACTCACCACTCACTCAACCACTCACTCACTCACCCACTCACCCACCCACTCACCCACTCACCCACTCACTCACTCACCCACTCACTCAACCACTCACTCACTCACTCACCCACTCACCCACCCACTCACCCACTCACCCACTCACTCACCCACCGACCCACTCACTCACCACTCACTCAACCACTCACCCACTCACCCACTCACTCACTCACCCACTCACTCACCCACCGACCCACTCACTCACCACTCACTCAACCACTCACTCACTCACCCACTCACTCACCCTCTCACTCACCCACTCACTCACCCACTCACCCACTCAGTCACACACCCACGCACTCACCCACTCACTCACCCACTGACCCACTCACTCACCCACCCACTCACTCACCCACCCACGCACTCACTCACCCACTCACTCACTCACTCACCCACTCACTCACTCACCCACCGACCCACTCACTCACCACTCACTCAACCACTCACTCACTCACTCACCCACTCACTCACTCACCCACTCACTCACCCACTCACCCACTCACTCACCCACCCACGCACTCACCCACTCACTCACCCACTGACCCACTCACTCACCCACCCACTCACTCACTCACCCACGCACTCACTCACTCACTCACCCACTCACTCACTCACCCACTCACTCACTCACCCACTCACTCACTCACTCACCCACTCACTCACCTACTCACTCACCCACTCACTCACTCACCCACTCACTCACCCACTCACTCAGTCACCCACTCACTCACTCACTTACCTACTCACTTACCCACACACTCACTCACCCACTCAATCACCCACCCACTCACTCACCCACTCACTGACACACAGACAAAGCTCTCCCAATTAGCCTCTTGCAGGGCTGTAGGGGCAAGTGCTGTTACATACAAACATTCACACACACCGACACACACACAGACACACACACACATATACACACAGATATGTATACACACAGACACACACACAGACACACCCACACATAAACACACAGACACACACAAACAGACACACACACAGACACACACAGGCAGCATCCAAATAATAGTCTGTCTCTCTCCCTGTGTCTCTCCCCGTGTCTCTCTCTCCCTGTGTCTCTCGCCCCGTGTCTCTCTCCCCGTGTCTCTCTCCCCGTGTCTCTCCCCCCCGTGTCTCCCTCCCCGTGTCTCTCTCTCTCTCCGTGTCTCTCACCCCGTGTCTCTCTCTCCCCGTGTCTCTCTCTCTCCTCGTGTCTCTCTCCCCGTGTCTCTCTCTCCCCGTGTCTCTTTCTCTCTCCGTGTCTCTCACCCCGTGTCTCTCTCTCCCCGTGTCTCTCTCTCTCCTCGTGTCTCTCTCCCCGTGTCTCTCTCTCCCCGTGTCTCTCTCCCCATGTCTCTCTCCCCGTGTCTCTCTCCCCGTGTTTCTCTCTCCCCGTGTCTCTCTCTCCCCGCGTCTCCCTCCCCGCGTCTCCCTCCCCGTGTCTCTCTCCCTGTGTCTCTCTCCCCGTGTCTCTCTCCCCGTGTCTCTCTCCCCATGTTTCTCTCCCCATGTCTCTCTCTCTCTCCGTGTCTCTCTCCCCGTGTCTCTCTCCCCATGTTTCTCTCCCCATGTCTCTCTCTCTCTCCGTGTCTCTCTCCCCGTATCTCTCCCCGTGTCTCTCTCCCCGTGTCTCTCTCCCCGTGTCTCTCTCTCCCCGTGTCTCTCTCTCCGCGTGTCTCTCTCTCCGTGTCTCTCTCTCCCCGTGTCTCTCTCTCCGCGTGTCTCTCTCTCCGCGTGTCTCTCTCCCCGTGTCTCTCTCCCCGTGTCTCTCTCCCCATGTCTCCCTCCCCGTGTCTCTCTCCCCGTGTCTCTCTCCCCGTGTCTCTCTCCCCGTGTCTCTCTCTCCCCGTGTCTCCCTCCCCGTGTCTCTCTCTCCCCGTGTCTCTCTCCCCGTGTCTCTCTCTCCCCGTGTCTCTCTCTCCCCGTGTCTCTCTCTCACTGTGTCTCTCTCCCCGTGTCTCTCTCCCCGTGTCTCTCTCCCCGTGTCTCTCTCCCCGTGTCTCTCTCCCCGTGTCTCTCTCTCCCCGTGTCTCCCTCAACGTGTCTCTCTCCCCATGTCTCTCTCTCCCCGTGTCTCTCTCCCCGTGTCTCTCTCACCCCGTGTCTCTCTCTCCCCGTGTCTCTCCCCGTGTCTCTCTCTCCCCGTGTCTCTCTCCCCGTGTCTCTCTCCCCGTGTCTCTCTCCCCGTGTCTCTCTCTCCCCGTGTCTCTCTCTCCCCGTGTCTCTCTCTCCCCGTGTCTCTCTCCCCGTGTCTCTCTCACCCCGTGTCTCTCTCACCCCGTGTCTCTCTCTCCCCGTGTCTCTCTCTCCCCGTGTCTCTCTCTCCCCGTGTCTCTCTCCCCGAGTCTCTCTCTCCCCGTGTCTCTCTCTCCCCGTGTCTCTCACCCCGTGTCTCTCTCTCCCCGTGTCTCTCTCTCCCCGTGTCTCTCTCCCCGTGTCTCTCTCCCCGTGTCTCTCTCTCCCCGTGTCTCTCTCCCCGTGTCTCTCTCCCCGTGTCTCTCTCTCCCCGTGTCTCTCTCTCCGTGTCTCTCTCCCCGTGTCTCTCTCCCCGAGTCTCTCTCTCCCCGTGTCTCTCTCTCCCCGTGTCTCTCACCCCGTGTCTCTCTCTCCCCGTGTCTCTCTCTCCCCGTGTCTCTCTCCCCGTGTCTCTCTCCCCGTGTCTCTCTCTCCCCGTGTCTCTCTCCCCGTGTCTCTCTCCCCGTGTCTCTCTCTGCCCGTGTCTCTCTCTCCGTGTCTCTCTCCCCGTGTCTCTCTCCCCGTGTCTCTCTCCCCGTGTCTCTCACCCCGTGTCTCTCTCACCCCATGTCTCTCTCCCCGTGTCTCTCTCCCCGTGTCTCTCTCTCCCCGTGTCTCTCTCTCCCCGTGTCTCTCTCTCCCCGTGTCTCTCTCCCCGTGTCTCTCTCTCCCCGAGTCTCTCTCTCCCCGTGTCTCTCTCTCCCCGTGTCTCTCTCTCCCCGTGTCTCTCTCTCCCCGCGTCTCTCTGTCCCCGTGTCTCTCTCACCCCGTGTCTCTCTCACCCCGTGTTTCTCTCTCCCCGTGTCTCTCTCCCCGTGTCTCTCTCTCTCTACGTGTCTCTCTCCCCGTGTCTCTCTCTCCCCGTGTCTCTCTCCCCGTGTCTCTCTCTCCCCGTGTCTCTCTCTCCCCGTGTCTCTCTCCCCGTGTCTCTCTCCCCGTGTCTCTCTCTCCCCGTGTCTCTCTCTCCCCGTGTCTCTCTCCCCGTGTCTCTCTCCCCGTGTCTCTCTCCCCATGTTTCTCTCCCCGTGTCTCTCTCTCCCATTGTCTCTCTCCCCGTGTCTCTCTCCCCGTGTCTCTCTCCCCGTGTCTCTCTCCCCGTGTCTCTCTCCCCGTGTCTCTCTCTCTCTCTCTCCCCGTGTCTCTCTCTCCCCGTGTCTCTCTCCCCGTGTCTCTCTCTCCCTGTGTCTCTCTCCCCTTGTCTCTCTCTCCCCGTGTCTCTCTCCCCGTGTCTCTCTCCCCGTGTCTCTCTCCCCGTGTCTCTCTCCCCGTGTCTCTCTCTCCCCGTGTCTCTCTCCCCGTGTGTCTCTCCCCGTGTCTCTCTTTCTCTCCGTGTCTCTCTCCCCGTGTCTCTCTCCCCGTGTCTCTCTCCCCGTGTCTCTCTCTCCCCGTGTCTCTCTCCCCGTGTCTCTCTCTCTCTACGTGTCTCTCTCCCCGTGTCTCTCTCTCCCCGTGTCTCTCTCCCCGTGTCTCTCTCTCCCCGTGTCTCTCTCTCCCCGTGTCTCTCTCCCCGTGTCTCTCTCCCCGTGTCTCTCTCTCCCCGAGTCTCTCTCTGCCCGTGTCTCTCTCCCCATGTCTCTCTCCCCGTGTTTCTCTCTCCGTGTCTCTCTCCCCGTGTCTCTCTCTCTCAATGTCTCTCTCCCCGTGTCTCTCTCCCCGTGTCTCTCTCCCCGTGTCTCTCTCCCCGGGTCTCTCTCCCCGTGTCTCTCTCTCTCTCTCTCCCCGTGTCTCTCTCTCCCCGTGTCTCTCTCCCCGTGTCTCTCTCTCCCCGTGTCTCCCCGTGTCTCTCTCTCCCCGTGTCTCTCTCCCCGTGTCTCTCTCCCCGTGTCTCTCTCCCCGTGTCTCTCTCCCCGTGTTTCTCTCTCCCCGTGTCTCTCTCCCCGTGTATCTCTCCCCGTGTCTCTCTTTCTCTCCGTGTCTCTCTCCCCGTCTCTCTCTCTCCCCGTGTCTCTCTCCCCGTGTCTCTCTCTCCCCGTGTCTCTCTCCCCGAGTCTCTCTCTCTCTACGTGTCTCTCTCCCCGTGTCTCTCTCTCCCCGTGTCTCTCTCCCCGTGTCTCTCTCTCCCCGTGTCTCTCTCTCCCCGTGTCTCTCTCCCCGTGTCTCTCTCCCCGTGTCTCTCTCTCCCCGTGTCTCTCTCTCCCCGTGTCTCTCTCCCCGTGTCTCTCTCCCCGTGTCTCTCTCCCCATGTTTCTCTCCCCGTGTCTCTCTCTCCCAATGTCTCTCTCCCCGTGTCTCTCTCCCCGTGTCTCTCTCCCCGTGTCTCTCTCCCCGTGTCTCTCTCCCCGTGTCTCTCTCTCTCTCTCTCCCCGTGTCTCTCTCTCCCCGTGTCTCTCTCCCCGTGTCTCTCTCTCCCTGTGTCTCTCTTCCCGTGTCTCTCTCTCCCCGTGTCTCTCTCCCCGTGTCTCTCTCCCCGTGTCTCTCTCCCCGTGTCTCTCTCCCCGTGTTTCTCTCTCCCCGTGTCTCTCTCCCCGTGTGTCTCTCCCCGTGTCTCTCTTTCTCTCCGTGTCTCTCTCCCCGTGTCTCTCTCCCCGTGTCTCTCTCCCCGTGTCTCTCTCCACTTGTCTATCAGCTGGAACTCCTGAAGATAAGATGCGGCTTTTCCTCATTCACTACATCTGCTCACCTCATCCTCCGTCAGAGGTGAGCCTCAGTCTGGCTCTGTGAGTCTCAGTGATTAACACTGAACCCTGTGGGAGCCTTAGTCTGGCTCTGTGAGCCTCAGTGATTAACACTGAACCCTGTGGGAGCCTTAGTCTGGCTCTGTGAGTCTCAGTGATTAACACTGAACCCTGTGGGAGCCTTAGTCTGGCTCTGTGAGCCTCAGTGATTAACACTGAACCCTGTGGGAGCCTTAGTCTGGCTCTGTGAGTCTCAGTGATTAACACTGAACCCTGTGGGAGCCTCAGTCTGGCTCTGTGAGCCTCAGTGATTAACACTGAACCCTGTGGGAGCCTTAGTCTGGCTCTGTGAGCCTCAGTGATTAACACTGAACCCTGTGGGAGCCTTAGTCTGGCTCTGTGAGCCTCAGTGATTAACACTGAACCCTGTGGGAGCCTCAGTCTGGCTCTGTGAGTCTCAGTGATTAACACTGAACCCTGAGGGAGCCTTAGTCTGGCTCTGTGAGCCTCAGTGATTAACACTGAACCCTGTGGGAGCCTTAGTCTGGCTCTGTGAGCCTCAGTGATTAACACTGAACCCTGTGGGAGCCTTAGTCTGGCTCTGTGAGCCTCAGTGATTAACACTGAACCCTGTGGGAGCCTTAGTCTGGCTCTGTGAGTCTCAGTGATTAACACTGAACCCTGTGGGAGCCTCAGTCTGGCTCTGTGAGTCTCAGTGATTAACACTGAACCCTGTGGGAGCCTCAGTCTGGCTCTATGAGTCTCAGTGATTAACACTGAACCCTGTGGGAGCCTTAGTCTGGCTCTGTGAGCCTCAGTGATTAACACTGAACCCTGTGGGAGGGAGCCTTAGTCTGGCTCTGTGAGTCTCAGTGATTAACACTGAACCCTGTGGGAGCCTTAGTCTGGCTCTATGAGCCTCAGTGATTAACACTGAACCCTGTGGGAGCCTCAGTCTGGCTCTGTGAGTCTCACAGATTAACACTGAACCCTGTGGGAGCCTTAGTCTGGCTCTGTGAGTCTCAGTGATTAACACTGAACCCTGTGGGAGGGAGCCTTAGTCTGGCTCTATGAGTTTCAGTGATTAACACTGAACCCTGTGGGAGGGAGCCTTAGTCTGGCTCTGTGAGTCTCAGTGATTAACACTGAACCCTGTGGGAGGGAGCCTTAGTCTGGCTCTGTGAGCCTCAGTGATTAACACTGAACCCTGTGGGAGCCTTAGTCTGGCTCTGTGAGTCTCAGTGATTAACACTGAACCCTGTGGGAGCCTTAGTCTGGCTCTGTGAGCCTCAGTGATTAACACTGAACCCTGTGGGAGCCTTAGTCTGGCTCTGTGAGTCTCAGTGATTAACACTGAACCCTGTGGGAGCCTTAGTCTGGCTCTGTGAGCCTCAGTGATTAACACTGAACCCTGAGGGAGCCTTAGTCTGGCTCTGTGAGTCTCAGTGATTAACACTGAACCCTGTGGGAGCCTTTAGTCTGGCTCTATGAGCCTCAGTGATTAACACTGAACCCTGTGGGAGCCTTAGTCTGGCTCTATGAGTTTCAGTGATTAACACTGAACCCTGTGGGAGGGAGCCTTAGTCTGGCTCTGTGAGCCTCAGTGATTAACACTGAACCCTGTGGGAGCCTTAGTCTGGCTCTGTGAGCCTCACTGATTAACACTGAACCCTGTGGGAGGGAGCCTTAGTCTGGCTCTGTGAGTCTCAGTGATTAACACTGAACCCTGTGGGAGCCTCAGTCTAGCTCTGTGAGCCTCAGTGATTAACACTGAACCCTGTTGGAGCCTTAGTCTGGCTCTGTGAGCCTCAGTGATTAACACTGAACCCTGTGGGAGGGAGCCTTAGTCTGGCTCTGTGAGTCTCAGTGATTAACACTGAACCCTGTGGGAGCCTTAGTCTGGCTCTGTGAGCCTCAGTGATTAACACTGAACCCTGTGGGAGCCTTAGTCTGGCTCTGTGAGCCTCAGTGATTAACACTGAACCCTGTGGGAGCCTCAGTCTGGCTCTATGAGCCTCAGTGATTAACACTGAACCCTGTGGGAGCCTTAGTCTGGCTCTGTGAGTCTCAGTGATTAACACTGAACCCTGTGGGAGCCTTAGTCTGGCTCTGTGAGCCTCAGTGATTAACACTGAACCCTGTGGGAGGGAGCCTTAGTCTGGCTCTGTGAGTCTCAGTGATTAATACGGAACCCTGTGGGAGCCTCGGTCTGGCTCTGTGAGTCTCAGTGATTAACACTGAACCCTGAGGGAGCCTTAGTCTGGCTCTGTGAGTCTCAGTGATTAACACTGAACCCTGTGGGAGCCTTAGTCTGGCTCTATGAGTCTCAGTGATTAACACTGAACCCTGTGGGAGCCTCAGTCTGGCTCTGTGAGCCTCAGTGATTAACACTGAACCCTGTGGGAGCCTTAGTCTGGCTCTATGAGTCTCAGTGATTAACACTGAACCCTGTGGGAGCCTCAGTCTGGCTCTGTGAGCCTCAGTGATTAACACTGAACCCTGTGGGAGGGAGCCTTAGTCTGGCTCTGTGAGTCTCAGTGATTAACACTGAACCCTGTGGGAGCCTTAGCCTGGCTCTATGAGCCTCACTGATTAACACTGAACCCTGTGGGAGCCTCAGTCTGGCTCTGTGAGCCTCAGTGATTAACACTGAACCCTGTGGGAGCCTTAGTCTGGCTCTATGAGTCTCAGTGATTAACACTGAACCCTGTGGGAGGGAGCCTTAGTCTGGCTCTGTGAGTCTCAGTGATTAACACTGAACCCTGTGGGAGGGAGCCTTAGTCTGGCTCTGTGAGTCTCAGTGATTAACACTGAACCCTGTGGGAGCCTTAGTCTGGCTCTGTGAGTCTCAGTGATTAACACTGAACCCTGTGGGAGCCTTAGTCTGGCTCTGTGAGTCTCACAGATTAACATTGAACCCTGTGGGAGCCTTAGTCTGGCTCTGTGAGCCTCAGTGATCAACACTGAACCCTGTGGGAGGGAGCCTTAGTCTGGCTCTGTGAGTCTCAGTGATTAACACTGAACCCTGTGGGAGGGAGCCTTAGTCTGGCTCTGTGAGCCTCAGTGATTAACACTGAACCCTGTGGGAGCCTTAGTCTGGCTCTGTGAGTCTCAGTGATTAACACTGAACCCTGTGGGAGCCTCAGTCTGGCTCTATGAGTCTCAGTGATTAACACTGAACCCTGTGGGAGGGAGCCTTAGTCTGGCTCTGTGAGTCTCAGTGATTAACACTGAACCTTGTGGGAGCCTTAGTCTGGCTCTATGAGTTTCAGTGATTAACACTAAACCCTGTGGGAGGGAGCCTTAGTCTGGCTCTGTGAGTCTCAGTGATTAACACTGAACCCTGTGGGAGCCTCAGTCTGGCTCTGTGAGCCTCAGTGATCAACACTGAACCCTGTGGGAGCCTTAGTCTGGCTCTGTGAGCCTCAGTGATTAACACTGAACCCTGTGGGAGGGAGCCTTAGTCTGGCTCTGTGAGTCTCAGTGATTAACACTGAACCCTGTGGGAGCCTTAGTCTGGCTCTGTGAGCCTCAGTGATTAACACTGAACCCTGTGGGAGCCTTAGTCTGGCTCTATGAGTCTCAGTGATTAACACTGAACCCTGTGGGAGGGAGCCTTAGTCTGGCTCTATGAGTCTCAGTGATTAACACTGAACCCTGTGGGAGCCTTAGTCTGGCTCTATGAGTCTCAGTGATTAACACTGAACCCTGTGGGAGCCTTAGTCTGGCTCTGTGAGTCTCAGTGATTAACACTGAACCCTGTGGGAGCCTCAGTCTGGCTCTGTGAGTCTCAGTGATTAACACTGAACCCTGTGGGAGGGAGCCTTAGTCTGGCTCTGTGAGTCTCAGTGATTAACACTGAACCCTGTGGGAGCCTTAGTCTGGCTCTGTGAGTCTCAGTGATTAACACTGAACCCTGTGGGAGGGAGCCTTAGTCTGGCTCTGTGAGCCTCAGTGATTAACACTGAACCCTGTGGGAGCCTCAGTGATTAACACTGAACCCTGAGGGAGCCTTAGTCTGGCTCTATGAGCCTCAGTGATTAACACTGAACCCTGTGGGAGCCTTAGTCTGGCTCTATGAGCCTCAGTGATTAACACTGAACCCTATGGGAGCCTTAGTCTGGCTCTATGAGCCTCAGTGATTAACACTGAACACTGTGGGAGGGAGTCTTAGTCTGGCTCTGTGAGTCTCAGTGATTAACACTGAACCCTGTGGGAGCCTTAGTCTGGCTCTGTGAGTCTCACAGATTAACACTGAACCCTATGGGAGTCTTAGTCTGGCTCTGTGAGTCTCAGTGATTAACACTGAACCCTGTGGGAGCCTTAGTCTGGCTCTGTGAGTCTCACAGATTAACACTGAACCCTGTGGGAGCCTTAGTCTGGCTCTGTGAGCCTCAGTGATTAACACTGAACCCTGTGGGAGGGAGCCTTAGTCTGGCTCTGTGAGTCTCAGTGATTAACACTGAACCCTGTGGGAGCCTTAGTCTGGCTCTGTGAGTCTCAGTGATTAACACTGAACCCTGAGGGAGCCTTAGTCTGGCTCTGTGAGTCTCAGTGATTAACACTGAACCCTGTGGGAGCCTTAGTCTGGCTCTGTGAGCCTCAGTGATTAACACTGAACCCTGTGGGAGTCTCAGTCTGGCTCTATGAGCCTCAGTGATTAACACTGAACCCTGTGGGAGTCTTAGTCTGGCTCTATGAGCCTCAGTGATTAACACTGAACCCTGAGGGAGGGAGCCTTAGTCTGGCTCTGTGAGCCTCAGTGATTAACACTGAACCCTGAGGGAGGGAGCCTTAGTCTGGCTCTGTGAGCCTCAGTGATTAACACTGAACCCTGTGGGAGCCTTAGTCTGGCTCTATGAGCCTCAGTGATTAACACTGAACACTGTGGGAGGGAGTCTTAGTCTGGCTCTGTGAGTCTCAGTGATTAACACTGAACCCTGTGGGAGCCTTAGTCTGGCTCTGTGAGTCTCACAGATTAACACTGAACCCTATGGGAGTCTTAGTCTGGCTCTGTGAGCCTCAGTGATTAACACTGAACCCTGTGGGAGGGAGCCTTAGTCTGGCTCTGTGAGTCTCAGTGATTAACACTGAACCCTGTGGGAGCCTTAGTCTGGCTCTGTGAGTCTCACTGATTAACACTGAACCCTGAGGGAGCCTTAGTCTGGCTCTGTGAGTCTCAGTGATTAACACTGAACCCTGAGGGAGCCTTAGTCTGGCTCTGTGAGTCTCAGTGATTAACACTGAACCCTGTGGGAGCCTTAGTCTGGCTCTGTGAGTCTCACAGATTAACACTGAACCCTGTGGGAGCCTTAGTCTGGCTCTGTGAGCCTCAGTGATTAACACTGAACCCTGTGGGAGGGAGCCTTAGTCTGGCTCTGTGAGCCTCAGTGATTAACACTGAACCCTGTGGGAGCCTTAGCCTGGCTCTGTGAGCCTCAGTGATTAACACTGAACCCTGTGGGAGCCTTAGTCTGGCTCTGTGAGTCTCAGTGATTAACACTGAACCCTGTGGGAGCCTTAGTCTGGCTCTATGAGTCTCAGTGATTAACACTGAACCCTGTGGGAGCCTTAGTCTGGCTCTGTGAGCCTCAGTGATTAACACTGAACCCTGTGGGAGCCTCAGTGATTAACACTGAACCCTGAGGGAGGGAGCCTTAGTCTGGCTCTGTGAGTCTCAGTGATTAACACTGAACCCTGAGGGAGGGAGCCTTAGTCTGGCTCTGTGAGTCTCAGTGATTAACACTGAACCCTGTGGGAGCCTTAGTCTGGCTCTGTGAGTCTCAGTGATTAACACTGAACCCTGAGGGAGCCTTAGTCTGGCTCTGTGAGCCTCAGTGATTAACACTGAACCCTGAGGGAGCCTTAGTCTGGCTCTGTGAGCCTCAGTGATTAACACTGAACCCTGTGGGAGGGAGCCTTAGTCTGGCTCTGTGAGTCTCACAGATTAACACTGAACCCTGTGGGAGGGAGCCTTAGTCTGGCTCTGTATCAGTGATTAACACTGAACCCTGTGGGAGTCTCAGTGATTAACACTGAACCCTGAGGGAGGGAGCCTCAGTCTGGCTCTATGAGCCTCAGTGATTAACACTGAACCCTGTGGCAGCCTTTGCCTGGCTCTATGAGCCTCAGTGATTAACACTGAACCCTGTGGGAGGGAGCCTCAGTCTGGCTCTATGAGCCTCAGTGATTAACACTGAACCCTGTGGGAGTCTCAGTGATTAACACTGAACCCTGTGGGAGCCTTAGTCTGGCTCTATGAGTCTCAGTGATTAACACTGAACCCTGTGGCAGCCTTTGCCTGGCTCTATGAGCCTCAGTGATTAACACTGAACCCTGTGGGAGGGAGCCTCAGTCTGGCTCTATGAGCCTCAGTGATTAACACTGAACCCTGTGGGAGCCTTAGTCTGGCTCTGTGAGTCTCAGTGATTAACACTGAACCCTGTGGGAGCCTTAGTCTGGCTCTGTGAGTCTCAGTGATTAACACTGAACCCTGTGGCAGCCTTTGCCTGGCTCTATGAGCCTCAGTGATTAACACTGAACCCTGTGGGAGCCTTAGTCTGGCTCTGTGAGCCTCAGTGATTAACACTGAACCCTGTGGGAGCCTCAGTGATTAACACTGAACCCTGTGGGAGCCTTAGTCTGGCTCTGTGAGCCTCAGTGATTAACACTGAACCCTGAGGGAGCCTTAGTCTGGCTCTGTGAGTCTCAGTGATTAACACTGAACCCTGTGGGAGCCTTAGTCTGGCTCTGTGAGCCTCAGTGATTAACACTGAACCCTGTGGGAGGGAGCCTTAGTCTGGCTCTGTGAGTCTCAGTGATTAACACTGAACCCTGTGGGAGCCTTAGTCTGGCTCTGTGAGTCTCAGTGATTAACACTGAACCCTGTGGGAGGGAGCCTTAGTCTGGCTCTGTGAGTCTCAGTGATTAACACTGAACCCTGTGGGAGCCTCAGTCTGGCTCTATGAGTTTCAGTGATTAACACTGAACCCTGTGGGAGGGAGCCTTAGTCTGGCTCTGTGAGCCTCAGTGATTAACACTGAACCCTGTGGGAGCCTTAGTCTGGCTCTGTGAGTCTCAGTGATTAACACTGAACCCTGTGGGAGCCTCAGTCTGGCTCTGTGAGCCTCAGTGATTAACACTGAACCCTGAGGGAGCCTTAGGCTGGCTCTATGAGCCTCAGTGATTAACACTGAACCCTGTGGGAGCCTTAGTCTGGCTCTGTGAGTCTCAGTGATTAACACTGAACCCTGTGGGAGGGAGCCTTAGTCTGGCTCTGTGAGTCTCAGTGATTAACACTGAACCCTGTGGGAGCCTCAGTGATTAACACTGAACCCTGTGGGAGGGAGCCTTAGTCTGGCTCTGTGAGTCTCAGTGATTAACACTGAACCCTGTGGGAGCCTTAGTCTGGCTCTGTGAGTCTCAGTGATTAACACTGAACCCTGTGGGAGGGAGCCTTAGTCTGGCTCTGTGAGTCTCAGTGATTAACACTGAACCCTGTGGGAGGGAGCCTCAGTCTGGCTCTATGAGCCTCAGTGATTAACACTGAACCCTGTGGGAGCCTTAGTCTGGCTCTATGAGCCTCAGTGAGCCTTGTGCTATGTGCCCGCAGGCTGAACTTGATGCGTTCAGCGTTGGACTTGAACGCGGTGGCTGTGACCTCACTCCACTCACCTACATCCGTCGGTGGAGGTGAGCTCACCACTCACCACTACTCACCACTCACCACTACTCACCACTCACCACTACTCACCACTCACCACTACTCACCACTCACCACCACTCACCACTCACCACTACTCACCACTCACCACTACTCACCACTCACCACTACTCACCACTCACCACTACTCACCACTCACCACTACTCACCACTCACCACCACTCACCACTCACCACTACTCACCACTCACCACTCACCACTACTCACCACTCACCACTACTCACCACTCACCACTACTCACCACTCACCACTACTCACCACTCACCACCACTCACCACTCACCACTACTCACCACTCACCACTACTCACCACTCACCACTCACCACTACTCACCACTCACCACTACTCACCACTCACCACTACTCACCACTCACCACTACTCACCACTCACCACTACTCACCACTCACCACTACTCACCACTCACCACTACTCACCACTCACCACTCACCACTACTCACCACTCACCACTACTCACCACTCACCACTACTCACCACTCACCACTACTCACCACTCACCACCACTCACCACTCACCACTACTCACCACTCACCACTACTCACCACTCACCACTCACCACTACTCACCACTCACCACTACTCACCACTCACCACTACTCACCACTCACCACTACTCACCACTCACCACTACTCACCACTCACCACCACTCACCACTCACCACTACTCACCACTCACCACTACTCACCACTCACCACTACTCACCACTCACCACTCACCACTACTCACCACTCACCACTACTCACCACTCACCACTCACCACTACTCACCACTCACCGCTCACCACTCACCACTCACAGCTCACCACTCACCACTACTCACCACTCACCACTCACCACTACTCACCACTCACCGCTCACCACTCACCACTCACCACTACTCACCACTCACCACTCACCGCTCACCACTCACCACTCACCACTACTCACCACTCACCACTCACCGCTCACCACTCACCACTACTCACCACTCACCGCTCACCACTCACCACTACTCACCACTCACCGCTCACCACTCACCGCTCACCGCTCACCACTCACCACTACTCACTCACCACTCACCGCTCACCACTCACCGCTCACCACTCACCACTCACCACTCACCGCTCACCACTCACCACTCACCGCTCACCACTCACCACTCACCACTACTCACTCACCGCTCACCGCTCACCACTCACCGCTCACCACTCACCGCTCACCACTCACCACTCACCACTACTCACTCACCGCTCACCACTCACCGCTACTCACTCACCACTCACCGCTCACCACTCACCACTCACCGCTACTCACTCACCACTCACCACTCACCGCTCACCACTCACCACTCACCACTCACCGCTCACCACTCACCGCTCAACACTCACCACTCACCACTACTCACTCACCGCTCACCACTCACCACTACTCACTCACCGCTCAACGCTCACCGCTCACCACTCACCACTTACCGCTCACCACTCACCGCTCAACACTCACCACTACTCACTCACCACTACTCACTCACCACTCACCACTCACCGCTACTCACTCACCACTCACCGCTCAACGCTCACCACTCACCACTGCTCACTCAACCGCTCACCACTCACCGCTCACCACTCCTCACCACTCACCGCTACTCACTCACCACTCACCGCTCAACGCTCACCACTCACCACTACTACTACACCACCTCACCACCACCAGCTCACCACCAGCTCACCACCACCACCACCTCACCACTACTACTACACCACCAGCTCACCACCACCTCACCACCACCTCACCACCACCAGCTCACCACCACCACCAGCTCACCACCAGCTCACCACCACCTCACCACCACCAGCTCACCACCACCACCAGCTCACCACCACCTCACCACCACCACCTCACCACCACCACCTCACCACCACCACCTCACCACCACCACCTCACCACCACCACCTCACCACCACCACCTCACCACCAGCTCACCACCACACCACCAGTGGTTCTCCCCCCCTGTGTCACCACCTCACCACCACCTCACCACCACCACCACCTCACCACCACCACCACCTCACCACCACCACCTCACCACCACCACCTCACCACCACCACCACCTCACCACCACCACCTCACCACCACCACCTCACCACTGGTACTCACCACCAGCTCACCACCACCAGCTCACCACCACCAGCTCAGCACCACCTCACCACCAGCTCACCACCACCTCACCACCAGCTCACCACCACCTCACCACCAGCTCACCACCACCAGCTCACCACCAGCTCACCACCACCTCACCACCAGCTCACCACCACACCACCACCACCTCACCACCACCACCTCACCACCACCACCTCACCACCACCAGCTCACCACCACCTCACCACTGGTACTCACCACCAGCTCACCACCACCAGCTCACCACCACCTCACCACCACCACCTCACCACCACCACCTCACCACCACCACCACCTCACCACCACCACCACCAGCTCACCACCACCACCTCACCACCAGCTCACCACCACCTCACCACCAGCTCACCACCACCAGCTCACCACCACCTCACCCCCTGTGTGACCACCTCACCACCACCACCAGCTCACCACCAGCTCACCACCACCACCACCTCACCACCACCTCACCACCAGCTCACCACCACCTCACCACTGGTACTCACCACCACCTCACCACCACCTCACCACCAGCTCACCACCACCTCACCACCACCAGCTCACCACTGGTACTCACCACCACCTCACCACCCCCAGCTCACCACCACCAGCTCACCACCAGCTCACCACCCCCAGCTCACCCCCAGTGGTTCTCCCCCCCCTGTGTGCCCAGGAGTTTCTCCAGGATGACCTCGACCAGCATCAGCTCCTCCACCACCTCGTACACAGGGGGTGGAACCAACACCATCAGGTAGACACCTCTCCCTCTCTCTCTGTCTCTCTCTGTCTCTCTCTGTCTGTCTGGGGGTCTCTCTGTGTCTGTCTGGGGGTCTGGGTCTGTCTGTCTGGGGGTCTGGGTGTCTGGGGGTCTGTCTGGGTGTCTGTCTGTGTCTGTCTGGGGGTCTGGGTCTGTCTGTCTGGGGGTCTGGGTGTCTGGGGGTCTGTCTGTGTGTGTGTCTGTGTGTGTGTGTGTGTGTCACTGTGTGTGTGTGTGTCTGTGTGTGTGTGTGTCTGTGTGAGTGTCTATGTGTGTGTCTCACTGTGTGTGTGTGTGTGTCACTGTGTGTGTGTGTGTGACTGTGTGTCTGTGTGTGTGTCTGTGTGTGTCACTGTGTGTGTGTGTCACTGTGTGTGTGTGTGTCTGTGTGTGTGTGTGTCACTGTGTGTGTGTGTCACTGTGTGTGTGTGTCTGTGTGTGTGTGTGTCACTGTGTGTGTCACTGTGTGTGTGTGTGTGTCTGTGTGTGTGTGTCTGTGTGTGTGTGTCACTGTGTGTGTGTGTCTGTGTGAGTGTCTATGTGTGTGTCTCACTGTGTGTGTGTGTGTCACTGTGTGTGTGTGTGAGACTGTGTGTCTGTGTGTGTGTCTGTGTGTCACTGTGTGTGTGTGTGTGTGTCTGTGTGTGTCACTGTGTGTATGTCACTGTGTGTGTGTGTCACTGTGTGTGTGTGTGTGTCTGTGTGTGTGTGTCTGTGTGTGTCACTGTGTGTGTGTCACTGTGTGTGTGTGTCACTGTGTGTGTGTGTGTCTGTGTGTGTGTGTCTGTGTGTGTCACTGTGTGTGTGTCACTGTGTGTGTGTGTCACTGTGTGTGTGTCACTGTGTGTGTGTCACTGTGTGTGTCACTGTGTGTGTGTCACTGTGTCACTGTGTGTGTGTCACTGTGTGTGTCACTGTGTGTGTCACTGTGTGTGTCACTGTGTGTGTCACTGTGTGTGTGTCACTGTGTGTGTCACTGTGTGTGTGTGTCACTGTGTGTGTCACTGTGTGTGTGTGTCACTGTGTGTGTCACTGTGTGTGTGTGTCACTGTGTGTGTCACTGTGTGTGTGTGTCACTGTGTGTGTCAGTATGTTCTCTCGGCTGGTGAACACGGGATCACAGTTCGTCATGGAGGGAGTCAAGAATCTGGTGATCAAGAGACACGTACGGACACACACAGTGACACACACAGTGACACACACACAGTGACACACACACAGTGACAACAACAACAACAACCGCCATTCGCCACTAAGTGGCGGTGACGTCACCACGACGCTTGTGCCAGGCTATGTGCACCCTGAGGCCACGTGAAGTGTCGAACGCCCGCTGGCAGGAGGTCACGGGGCAGACCCAGGTGCCACGGGTCGACTGACTGAGATGACTGGCTGATGCACCACCTGTGCCCCCTACTGTGCCAACCTGCTGTGCTTTAGCCACCCGGCGCTCCGCTCGCTGTTGTGAGCGTCGCTCCTCCGCCCTCCGTTGTTGTTGGAGGGCGACTGCTTCCAACTGCCCAGTAGCGTCCTTCACGAGCCTCCTCCACAGAGGCCGATCTTGACACCGCTGGTACCAGTCATCGGCAAGTCCACTCAGCTCCACGTCCTCCTGTACCACATCACTCCATCTCTTCTCTAGCCCGTGCCGCGCCCGCTTAGCCCCCTCAATCCGGCCAAACAAAAGCTGTTTCGGCATGGGGTGGCTGGGCATGCGGGCTACATGACCCAGCCATCGCAGCCTTGCCTGCCGGAGGAGCTCACCGATGGGACCCTGCCCAGATCTTTCAAGGATTTGTGAGCTCCTCACACAATCCAGTCTGGTTAAACCCAGGATGGATCGTAGGCAGGCCAGCCTAAATGTTTCTAACCGGCGAAGATGTTCCATTAGGGGGGTCCACGTTTCGCAAGCGTAGAGAAGGGAGGGAATGACCGTGGCCGAGAAGACCTGAAGCTTAGTGCGGAGCGACAGACCAGGTAGCTTCCACACAGCGTTACGCAACCGATGAAAAGATATTGCCGCTCGACTGATTCGGAGTGAGACCTCTGCTGTTAAACTGGTGCCAGTCATAAGCACACTGCCCAGGTATGGGAAACTCTCCACTCTCTCCACAACTGCCCCATCACCGATTGGGAGTTGTGGGGGTGGAGTGTCCGATGGTACAAAATACCCAGGCAGGTGCTTGGTTTTGGTGGGGCTGATGGTAAGGCCCCACCTCTTAGTGGCACGCTCCAGTCTCAGCAGCAGCGTCTCCAACTCCTCCTCTGACTGAGCAGCTATTACCAAATCATCAGCATACATAACGTGGTTGAGCAATAGGGAGCCATCCCTTGACCGCACCCGGGCATCGATTAGCCTCCCATTATATCTGTACCATATGGAGATTCCCCCGGTACAGCTATTGAAGGCTTCACGAACTACGTGGTCAAAATAGATGTTAAATAATGTGGGAGCCAGAGGACATCCCTGTCGCACCCCAAGGTGTACAGGGAATGGCTCTGACTCCCGGCCACGTAGTTTTACCCGGGCCCGCTCACCATCATGAAGGTCCTTAATGATCGTGAGCAGAGGGTCAGGTACTCCAAAAGCACGAAGAACGACCCAGAGCCCAGGCCTACTGATGGTATCATAGGCCTTGACCAGGTCAATAAAGCAGAGATGTAGGTCTTGTTGGAATTCCCTACACCTCTGCTGTAGCAGACGGACAGAAAATATGGCATCTGTGCAGGACCCGCCCTTTCCTGAAACCGCATTGGGGCTCCGCAAGCCTCTCCTCAGCGTGCCTGGCAAGGCGATGCTGAATAATCCTTGCCAGGACCTTTCCCGGCACACTGAGGAGTGAGATGCCCCTGTAGTTGTTACAGTCTGTGCGGTCCCCCTTCTTAAAAAGGGGGACCACCAGGGCATCCTTCCAATCCTGCGGAACCCGTCCAGTGGTCCAGACTGTTGTTATGATGTCATATAGGGCAGTCTGTGCACAAACGCCACCCTCCCTCAGCATTTCGCTTGGAAGATCATCTCTGCCCGCTGCCTTTCCTGGTCTCAGACTCCGAATCGCCTTCAATACTTCCTCAGCAGATGGCACCTCAGCCAGCCACTCACAGGGGGTGACTTCATCCAATATTTGAGGCACCGCAGCCTCAGCAGGGTCATCCTCACTTTGTGCCACGATGTTTTCCTGGCTGAGGGATTTTCCCTCCCCCAGGACCTCACAGAAATGCTCAGCAAATCTGCGAACCTGTTCCTGGGGGTCGGAAATTGGATCGCCGTTTTTTCCCCTAATGATGGTAATAGGTGTGGCGCTGCAGGTTACTTTTTTGATGGAGTTAAATAGAGATTTGTGATCACGGGCCACTGAGGCAGACTCCATCTCCTCAGCAACCCGCGACCACCACCCATCCTTGCAGCGCCTCACGGCTCTCCGAACCTCCGAGCGAAGGCTGCGGTAAGCCTCCTCATTCTCTGACGTGGGACTCTGTAGCCGATGACAGTGGGCCTGTCGCTTTTTCTCAACCATCGTGAACAACTCCTCTGTCATCCAGGGTGTCTGGGGAGGTCTGGACCGCGTACCCAAAGCAGCCATTGCAGCTGCATGAGTCACAGTCCTAAACCTCGCCCATTTACCCTCGACATCAGGAGGAGTCGGGGACGATGCCAATCCCAGCCGCAAGCGATGATGAAATTCTCGCTTGCAACTTTCATCAGATAACTGAGACCAGGCCACTTTAGGTTGGAATGGGGTCCTGGGTGTACACCCACCACCGGAGTGGAAGAATGGCAGGCGCATCTTACAGATGACTAGTCGATGGTCAGAGGGCAGATCAGCTCCACGGTAGGTCCTGGTGTCAAGGACAGTGACACACACAGTGACACACACAGTGACACACACAGTGACACACACACAGTGACACACACACACACACAGTGACACACACACAGTGACACACACACACACAGACACACATACACACAGACACACACACACATACACACATATACATACACACACATACATAGACACAACAACAACCGCCATTCGCCACTAAGTGGCGGTGACGTCACCACGACGCTTGTGCCAGGCTATGTGCACCCTGAGGCCACGTGAAGTGTCGAACGCCCGCTGGCAGGAGGTCACTGGGCAGACCCAGGTGCCACGGGTCGACTGACTGAGATGAGTGGCTGATGCACCACCTGTGCCCCCTACTGTGCCAACCTGCTGTGCTTTAGCCACCCGGCGCTCCGCTCGTTGTTGTGAGCGTCGCTCCTCCGCCCTCCGTTGTTGTTGGAGGGCGACTGCCTCCAACTGCCCAGTAGCGTCCTTCACGAGCCTCCTCCACAG